TTCGTCACGAAGTGTTCTATCATATTGGCGGTTTTCAAATAAATAAAAGGAATGAAGAAACCAGTTTTTGAAGGTTTCAACATGAGTCATAATGACAGACAGACTATGAGGATTACTTAAAGTTACTACCCCTAAGACGTGGGTCAACATAAAAGCTAAAAATAAATGATAAAAGATATTTGTAAAGAAATTGATCGTTTGTCGGGAGGATCACAATTTGAAAAATAGAAAATTTGTCTACCTGTGTTCCCTATTTTTCCATGATGTGGAATTTCTATTCCATTGTGATCTTTATCCATGAACAATAATAGTATATCAAAAAGAGATTCTTCATAGAAATAGTTAAGAATACATTTCATTTTCTTTTTCAGGAATTTTTACATTATATCTGATACATTTTTTGGGTTCATTTCGTTTCAAGGGATGTGCTTTTGAAATAAATAAAAAAAAAAAAGGTAGACAAAATTGTATCGATTGTGATGATGATTATTTTTATTTCCTATTTTTACTACCTGACCTGCATGTCGTAGATTCTCAACTTTCCGCTAAGAAATCACCAGGGGAGGGATGAATAGTGGGGTTATTTAGAATTATTAGGATGATTTACATTTTACAATAAGGATTTTATCCTCATGACAAAATTCCTATACCTGAGAAACGCGAGGTATGAGTAACAGTTGATGTATAAGTTTTGTTTTTTATATATCTAGTTAAATAATCTGAAACTAGGGTATACCCTAGAGTATAATTGGGTTACCTGAACTAACCTAACAAAAAAAAAGAAAAAGAAATGACTCAACCAATTGGAACGGTCTACAACTACAAAAATATTCTAAGATTGTGATCAGTTCAACTGTATTGAAATTAGGTAACAATTGTATAAATAAACTGAATGTATATCTGATTAAATAAATCATCACAATAATAATATTAATCGATATTGAAATGTACAAAAGTTATAAGACAATGTAATATAAACTTTGTGTTGTAATATAAAAGTAAAAGAAAAAAAGAAAGAAAAAAGGGGGAGTGTATCATAGTACAACGAAGCAAAGTCCGTAATCGTCGTCGTCGTCGTCGTCGTCATCGTCATAGTTGTCGGGTGTTCTCTTATGTCCTAGCACGAAACGAAAACAGTCGAGCCCATTGTTGCGTACCCGTCGCGGCGTGGAGTGCATAATTAATGACCTTCGTGCTGCCAAGTTTTGCATTGCAAATGGCGCCTAGGAGGCGCGCGAGCGCTCACCCACTATAAACGCGCGTGCATGCGGAAAGGACGAACCCGTTGTTTAAACTGGGAAAGAAATATAGAAAGAAAAGAATGGAAGAAAGAAAGGTTTTCAGTTAGAGGGGGATATTTGTGACCGAGGGTTGACGATGAGCTCGATGCAAACGGATTCTGAGGAAAAAGGGGGAGAATCAGAATGTCGTAGAAACAGCAGCAGTTCAACGAATCATCAACAACGAGAAAGTTTTTGGATCAATGTGACTCCACGTGCCATTTACACCATCAACGACCTTCTTTTTTTTTCTGTAAATTTATAGGTTATTTTAGGGTTTTTGTATAAAGTAACCATTAATTATACTCTTAGGAAATGAAAATAAATGAAACTAATTAACTATAATTGAACTCACCGAGAATATCTTTGGTTTTAAATACTTGACATTTTGTTGGATCCATCTTTTTTTAATTGCTAACATGATTGACAATTCGATTCTTAATACAATTTTATTTATTCGAAACTCACTTGAGGTGCATTATCTTATATCAAAATCAATTTCAACTTTTGTATACGTAATAATAATAATAATGAATAAAATTAAAAAACACACACAGACACGATATTCAAACAAGACTAATTACTGGAGTGGGTGTTTTCAGATAATTGATGAGTTGATTCAAGAATAAATAATGAAAAAAAAAAAAAATGATCAGCAAATGAATCGAAAGCTCACGCATCAACGGGTAATCGTATGTCGCACAATTTCGATTTGGTTATCAAGAAAAAAAAAACAAAAAGATATTTTTAAACGATAAGAACGTTATCAAAGTTATCTTAAAGTTGGGTTTAAAATAATCAAACGGTATAATATCTTTGCTGTTTAATACCGAAACATTTCAACATCACACAACCGTAAGCAAAAAGTATCTAACCTAGTAGAGAGTTGGAGATCAACTAACTGAAAACTGAGAATGACATTTTCCGTAAGAAAATATTTATGTTAAAAATTTAGAAGAGTAGGGAAAAAACATAATAGTAGTAGGAAAAGAGAAGAGATTTTCTGGTTTGGTTGGTTATAACTTGAAAGGACCTTTTTCTTTTATAACATTACAAGAGGTTTACGAACTCTAAGAGAGTCAACCATCAAACAGGGTTTCTCATCAATTAACTTCAATACTCATATAAATCTTTATCTTCCTTATCTTTCCATTAGAATTTCTATTCCTCGAATTAGAAACGCAAACCCTGCCCCCCCTCCCCTCCCCCCGAACAACTTGAAAAGTTAACATTACGTACCTAGAAATTCATTATCGAGATAAGATGAGACAAGTGTACACACTAAGTATGAATCAACGAACTTTAATGAGATTAAATCTATCGTATTTTTGTATTTATATAAAAAAAAATACATTTTTCTGAGAAAATCAAATGACTTCTGTGTGTTAGGAATCATTGATCAAACATTGGTTTAATTCATTCTTAGTATTGTGAATTGAAAAGTAAGGGTAGGTTGAGAACTATTGAAAATTGTATATGTATAAAGAAAAGGGAAGGGAAAGGAAGGGAAGGAAAAAGGGAGAGAAGGAAAAGAAGAAACACCCGGTGGTATGTGCACGCACAGTCAGAGGCAGGTTTTGGCCGGCTGTCAGAAACGAAACGTGCACAAAAGACAGGTGCTGGAATGCATCGATTACCTCTCTCTCCATCCCCCACTTTTCTACCTTTAGCCCTTCCTTTTAGTCCCCATTAATACTAAACCTATATATATATATATATATTGTAGTGTCTAGTATCTGAGAACCCAACCCATATCTTCTTTTCCCTTTTCCAGGTACAATGCGTCAACATAACCAAAGCGCACGTGGAAGAAAAAAAGAAACCTAACACCAATGTCTGTGTGTGTATATATATATGTGTGTTTTTCTATGTGTTGAGAAAAGGAATGTGCAAAAATCTTTTCTTTTATCTTCCCACTTATTTTTTTTTTTTTCTAAACATGTGATAACTCATAATAGTTGGTGTGACCTTTTTTCTTCTAACAGAATACACCCATCCCAAATTTTAAAGGATCATGCAAACATTTATTGAGCAGTTCAGAATATTAGATTAAACTTCCGGAGAAAAAGAAAACAACCTAACCTAACCTAACCTAAAAATATATACAAAGTTTAATCAGACTCTTATGCAATATTCATTCAGATTAAAAACATTAAAACTGACATTCCGAATTTTTATTTGAAAAAAGAAAAAAGGAAAGAAAATGAAGTTAAATAAAATATGAGACGAGGTTAGGTTGGAAGAAAATGGGGTTGGAACTTTTATTCTGATCATAAAGCATTTAAAAAATCATGGAGGGGCTTGCTCGTTAACGAGCGTTAAGTTTAACAGATTATAACCGCATCGTCAAATATCATGAATTATATTTGCTACTACTACAACTACTCATCTACCTATTCCTCATACTATTTCTCTCTTTTGTTCATGTTGAAAGAACGAATAGGAAACGAGGAGTTTTAACGGGTCGTATGTGTGTGTGTGTATGTGTGTGTGCCGTTTTTCCTTCGCTAATTATCCCATCCATCGTTTCTTGGTCCCTTCGTCGTGAAAGGATCTGAGTACAGTGACGTATAACGGGTTAATAACAAGCAACTCTTCAGTATTACTCTTTCTTTTTACTATTTCCTTTTTTTTTTCTCTAGGGATCCACCTACACACACATACACGTACATTCATACATGTATACAGTCGTACAAACGTATTGGAACCCCTTTTATTCAACACTACAGTTACTTTTCAATTCGTTCAAGGGATCAAGGGTAGAATAAGTGGGGGAGAAATAGGTGGAGTGGGGATAACTTGGAATTATAAAGGGATCGATTATTCGATTAATGTACAGAAGAAATAGGGTTGGGGGTAGGAGTCTTTTTCATTCACCCCTAAAATCGATTTATTTCACAAAAGATAAAGTCAAAAAGGTTGCATCAAGTTTGAAGGAGTCTAACAATTTTTTTGTTTTTTTTTTATTAATTGCAGACTACGTAGATTATTGGAATCATTTGAATACGTTTTGATGTTTGAATCTTTCATACTTGTTTGACATTCCCTTTAATTGTGATTGACGGTATTTGATGTCATAGTCGTTTAATAAATTCATCAATAGGAATTTTTGGAAGACATATGTGAAGTTAATTGTACACGTGGATTGGTTATAGACGATGTTAGTTGAAAAATGATTAAATACATTTGAGAAGATTACTATACAATACTATTGCGTATTTCAAACGTCAGTTTAAAGTTGAAATGTTATCATTCTCGCATTTTCTTTAGGGGTTATCGAATTCTAGAGCAAAACAAAATCTTGCTTAATATATATAATATGATACATGTTGGTTTTTATTTTCCTTAGATAATTTCATTTATTTGCCGTTCGTTATCAACATTTTAACTTGGTTATTTCCGAGTTATAACGATATTAGCAATTCCAATGAATTTTAATAAAAGCACTGTACTAACTAACTGGACCATGACGCAACTTGCTGTTGTCATCAAACCCAATTCATGATAAATTCCTAACTTATATGTTATCATATTATTTCAAACATAACGATATGTTTTTAATACTTTATCCTACCAAATTGTAATAAGAAAAATCCTGACGCAACCCTGACACAATCCTTTAAATACTACCCCACTTTAAGTACTGTGTTGTTTTTTTTAAACGAATCGTTAGTTTATTCGCATAATGTTGATGGTATTGAGTAGGCATTGAGAACTCACCTTTTGCTGTGCCAACCTAAGGGATTCTTCAAAATGTTTGTGAACCGCTTGCTCGGCGGCCCTTTGTTTTTCCAACCTCTCTCGTTCCATCTTCGACTCACGCTCGCGTTTTTCTAATTCACGTACTTCCGCATCCCGACGTTCCCTGAAAAAAACACATCAAAACAAATGACAGTTTAGTATTCGATACGTTTTCATATTGATAGTTTTGTTAGTTTTCTAAATAATTACTCTTGTCCCACTCAGTATAATTCAAAAAGTTCAATTAAATACAGAAACAACAAAAAATACATGAATTCAATTGTATCAGAATATTTAAGAACAAAATTCAATTAACTTAACCACTAAACGCGATACATTTGATTTAATATTATATTTACAATAAAATAATGAACATTATAAACAAACTATAATGTTATTGTTTCAAATGTTCTAACATGTTTTTACATTCTCATTATTTTCCCAGTATTATTATAAGAAATATAGTTGAGATAATAAATGTGAAACACACTGTGATGAGTGTACGCGTTTGTTTCAATATACGTAGTCTTCACAAACGTATACACATACACACACACATACATACATACATACATATATATGATGTACACAACAAGCACATATGACGATGATGATGTAAATAAAAAAAAAAAGTCTATAGACTTTTTAACGGGCGCGAGAAAAGAGATAAGCATTCATTAACGTTTGCGCAATTTATTTTATATATATATATATATATATACACTCATACATTTTTGAAAGAAATAAGACGAGTGTTGTTTATCTTATTCCCCCTTCAGTCTGCTTACTTGCGGGACTTTAAAATGCACGCGCATGGAATTCGTCCTGTGATAACAGCTAAATAACGTGAGCACATAACGTGACTACTATTCATGAGTTTGTCTACTTTGTGTGTTGTAATTCGCATGCGCAAAATATAAGAAAAGAGTAGGGTGGATGGAGAGAAAGGGAAAGGATGATTTAATATAAATAAACAATATTAAGAACAATCAGATTATTTTGTCTCAAAGAGTTAAGATAAGAACTGTTTAATGTGTCATCTGTTTCTTCTAATTTCACTCTGATTATTTACTGTAATTGGATTTTTGTTTTATCGAATAATATCTTTGGATTTTATTAATTTTTATATAGTAATAATATAAAAAGTAAGGTTAGTTTTATCGAAATAATTGAATTGTAATACACTGCCATCTATTAGTAAACTTACTTAGATAACTTTTAAATAATAAATGTTGATTTTTAATATATTTCTAAATTATTTAGTAAATAATACCACAATTACAATCTAATACATAAAATAATAATACAGAAAAAAATATAAAAAGTAAGGTTAAGTGATGTTATATGTAAATCTGAGAAAAAACAACCTACGACGTGAATATATCTAAATAATTGAATTGTAATACACCACCATCTATTGAAAACTTACAGTACTGAAAGATCTGCATAGCTTTTAATTAATAAATCTTTAAATTAGCAATAAATAATAAAAATAATCGTGATAAACATTATCCTATATTTTAAGTTGAAAAAAATCACACAAAATAAAAAAAAATTTCATTGAAATCGGTTCAGTAATTTCGGAATTATTAGTGGACAAACATTGTGACATTTAATTTTTATGTACTATAATAATTATTAACTTTTTCCAAACATTAATAAAATATTGTTTAACAATTTATTTACATCAACTTATCATATATTTTGTTCTTTTACAAAGAATATAAAAGTCCAATAATTTTCATTAAGAAATTAATGATTTTATTCGTACTATTTTCAGAGTGTTACCCTAACCGCCGCCATATTGTAACAGTTACATTTTTAAATACTACACCCCCCACTTTCAATTCCCTATACTTATTACTTCTAAAAAAAAAAAAAAAAAAAAAAACTAGAAGATTTAGAAATAATATGATTCATCCAATAATAAAGATTCTTCTTCATATTATTCGATAAAAGTGAAAGAGAATATTCGCACGCTAGTTTTGTTGCATTAAGGAAGAGAAGTAGAGAGACAGACAGACAAACAGACAGACAGTCAGACAGATGCACGTTCACCGCATTATTTCCTGTTATGCGAGAAAGATTCTCATGACCGATCATAGAATGCAAGAAAGCAACCAGGTAAGCAAGCAAGAGTTCTGAGGGGGCGTGCAGAGAATACGTGAGGAAATAATCCAAGAGGAAATGAGAAAGAAGATGAGGATGAGGATGAAGAAGAAGAAGAAGAGAAGAAGGATGATGATGAGGAATGGGGAGGGGAGGGTGGAAAGGGAAAAAACAGAGGATTTCACGTTCCGCAAATGCGAGTTACTGTTTCGTTTCTGTGTTACATCGGCTTTCGCGTTCCAAGAAAGCGTACCTCACTTTCCGGAGTTCGAAGTTAGCTTTAGTATTCGTGTATTTGTATATGTATGTGTTGTCTGTGTATATTACATATGTGTGTGTGTATATATATGTCTAGGAAACTTATGCGAGTCAGTGTGGTTTGTTCAGGTTTTTTTTTTTCTAAGTCAAAACTGTTGGTGAACTTTGCCAACGTTGCGTTACATATCCCCACATATATACACATACATACATTATATGTGGRTTTTATACGCATTAAGAGATAGAGATAAATAGATGAGTGTAATTGTATTAAATTTATCTCGATTTAGTTTCGTAAAATAAAAATTACTTATATCAGTTTAAATTAATACATAAAATGATGTGGTAGTATATGAATATATGTATGTGTATGTATGTTATGTCTAGAATTAATAAAGTATGATTAATTGGTTAATTAAATATATTAATTAAATATTTTATTTTATATTATATATATATATTATTTTATAATATAAATAAATTATATTATAATATAGTATAATATTAATAAAATATTATATNTAAATAATTATTAATAATTAAATTATTATTAAATTATATATAATAATATATTTAATATAATATACTATATTATATTAAATTAAATTATAAATAATATATATATATATAGTATATTATATGTAATTTAATTATTTATAATTATTTTTTATAAATATTATATATAATTTAATAATTAAACTTTTATAATAAATTATGTCATTCCTACAAAACATTTTAGTTAAAAGTATTCACCACTCGAAGGATTAAAAAATAGGAATTGTTTTAAATGAATAATAAGAATAAAAATAAGAAAATGTAGAACACAACCAATCAACGTGTTGTGTTGTACGATATATCGTTTAATAAGAAAAGCAGGGGGATAATCATAAGACGTAAAAGAAATATTAATTATGCATACCTTTGCAACATGCTTTAACAACGTGTATAAGAATATTTTGTCGATCTTGTTTCTTGCCATCCTTGAATAGATATTTATATACATATATATACACATATATATAAACGTTCGTTTATTCGATTCACGAGTTAAAAGAATTTTCTTAACGAGGAAAAAAAAAAAGTACATTAAGAGGAATTTAAACGATAAGAAGAAGAAGAAGAAGAAGAAGAAGAAAAAAAAAGAAGTATTGTAGATAAAATTATTACAATGATACAATATAAGTAAAGGTATCATTTTAATTGTTAATTTCATCGTAATAATTAATCAAATTTTTTGTTTTACTTTTTGTAAAATGACACCACTATTAAATGTCATTTTGTTGACTACTATTGCAAGATTGGAGTTATGCAATCAAGAAAATGGGGGGTGGTATTGAGGTGGGGTGCTAACTTTGACATTGGATGAAACAAATATCGATGAATAAATTTCATATAGTTTTTGTTTTATTTAACAAATTTTATTACCTTTGGGATTGTATGTTGTTTTGTTTTTTTATTGGTTTATTCGAAAAAAAATTCGAAGGTGTGGTGGTTGAAATTTTGTTGGCAATTTAATACACGTGTATAGTAATAATAATAATAATAATAATAATAATAATAATAATAATAATAATAATAATAATAATAATAATAATAATAATAATAATAATAATAATAAT